CCAATTTTTCTAAAACACATGCCTTGGACTCCTGCCTCATGTGTGGGGGTTAGAGAAGTTTCTCTGTAGACCATGGTAAAGAGAAAGAAATGCCCACGATGACAAGCTTTAGGAGGAAATGAGAGTACTTTTAAGATATGGTAAACTCTGAGGTGTTTACACATCAAACAAATCGTCAGAAATGCTTTCCAAGGAAGAGCAGATCTCCAGTTGGAAGGTACCACCTTGGCACAGCTGGCTGCTCTGGGGAAGGCCTGCCAGCTGCGAGCATCCACACCTGGTGGCCCAGGCTCAGCCGTCCTGAGCCAGGTGTGAGGGAGCCTTGGTTTCTGGGCTGCTTTCCTGAACATGCATGGGGTGGGCTGTCATACACCCAGTGGAGTTTTTGCATAAACATAATGGCATTCTTAATATGTTGGTTTTATGTTTTCCTTTATAAAATTCTTTTTTATTTTTTTGACAATACTGGAGTTTGAACTCAGGGTCTTGTTCTTGCTAGGCAAGCACTCCCCTATTGGAGGCATGCCTGTGCTATAAAATTCCTTTAAAATTACAAAATGATATTTAAGGAGTTCATATAAGGAAAAAGTTAATTTCCCCTACACCTTGAGGAGACTAATGTAAACAGCTGGCATTGTGTTCTGGTGCCTTTCCTGCTGCTTACAGCACACACATGGATTTTTATTATTCCTATTTGTTTTTATAAAGTGGGGACACATTTTATACTGTTCTATGGTGTGTAGGTTTCTCAGTACTTTCAACCAGTACTTTCTGAGTTTAGTAATGACTTCATATTGTGTAATGGAAATCTGTCATAATTTATGGCACATTTCTGATTTCTCTTTTTTTTTCCTTTCTCTTTTTGAGATAGGGTCTTGCTATATAGCTCAGGTAGACTTCAAACTTGGACTCCTCCTGCCTCTGCCTCCTGAGTGCTGGGATTACAGGCATGTACTACCACCCCTGGCTTTGGTTTTCATTTTTTTACTCTCTTCTGTATAAATAGTTTTATTCCTTGGTCATTCCTACTAGTCTGTAGTTTTGCATTTTCTCTTTTTTTCTTAATTAGGCTTCTAGGGGCTATCTATTTCATTAATGACATATTTCTCTATTAAATACTTTTTACTCTTTTTATTTATGTTGATCTTTTTATGACTTTCAGTTAATACTTTGTTTCTCACTTTTTCTTCCTTAATAATAATATTTAGGATTGAACTTTTTTTTACAATTGCCACAGTATTTATAATTATTAGCATTTTATTTTTATTAGCATTTATTAATTGTACAAGGGGTTTCATTGTGACATTTCCATACATGTTTCACCTCTTCTGTTATTCTTTCTTATCCACCCTCTTGCTCCCCTTTTTAAAACAATTTTTAATGGGTTTCATTATTTTCACACATGCTTATGAAGTACTTCAATCATATTTACTTCCCTCTGCACTCTCCTTTTGCCCTCCCTTCTGTTTTTTCCTTCTAAATTCAAGTTTAGTTGAGACTCTTGACTTTCAGAATTCTCCTTTGCAGCTGGGCATGGTAGGGCACATCTGTAATCTCAGCACTCAGGAGGCTGAGGTGGGAGCATTGTGAGTTCAAGACCAACATGGATACATAGTGAGACCTTGTCTTCTTCCTCCCCCTTTCCCCCAATATAATTCTCCTTTTCATTAATTTTTAGATAATTTGAAATTTTATTTTTCACAACTCTTGTCTTTGCCAACATAAGCCAAATTTATTTGTATCTCATTTTTCTCCTAGTTGATTTGGAAGTTCTGCTGTGCTTTTAGTTCTGCTATTAGTGACAGACCATTCTTAAAAGCCATAATTGCACTTTTATTTTTCAATTTTCTCTTTACATATTTTACTTTTTTCAGTACTTCCCAACCAAGACAAACCTCTTACTTGCTGTTCTTCAAAAACTCTTACCTCTTACCTCAAACACAGGTTTTAAGAAGGTAACAACTTTGAACAATTAGTGCTTTCCCTTAAGGTCTCTGACTTCAAGATCCTAACTAGCAATTTTTGTCACAACTTCCCAGTGACATTACCATCATGTATTTAGCATTAGCAAGGCATTTTATGATATTCATAGGTAGCTGATGATAAAGCCATGCTGATAATGTCAGAGTTATTATTTCTGTAACTCTCAACTATGACTCAGAATTCATCCTAGGACTTTACATAGATTATCTCATTTCATCCTCACAATAACCTTCTGAAGTAAGCACCATAATTATCTGAAGATGAGTCACTGAGGCTCAGAGAGGCTGGAACACGGGCCCAGGTCTCTTGGCTTCACAGCCCATAATCCTCAGCACCAAATTCTTTCACACCTCCTGAAGTACTTTTTTTCCCTATCTTGGCATCTTTGGGCTAAAAAGCATTTTAGGTACAAATCTGAAAGAGAAGATTACTAGAGTTACTGGAAGCAATAAAGGGGTGGCCCTCCCCACGTAAGCGGATTCTGTTCTGCAGCTGGGAGGAAAAGTTGATCTGGAAGCTCCAGGTGCAAATGGTCGCCTTCAAGTTGTGGCATTATCCTCTGCATGTGTGGTACGGGGGTACCTGGGAAGTGATGCCCATATAAATGGGCATTATCACTGCATTCTTGTCATTCATTCTTTTTAACTCAGACAAACCTGACTACAAGGAGCCCTGTCCATCTGTCCGATTACTGATTACTGATGAAATAGTGAAATTATCACCATCATATTCTTGATGTTTAGTCAAGAGGAAGTTTGGTTTTAGGGTGAATATAGGAAAGCATAAATCAGTTCCTCTCTTTCTCTCTCACTCTTTCCGTCTCATCTCACAGTTCTCTAGAGGAACACAGCCAATAGAATGCATGTATAATTTTTATAAAAATTATAAAAGGGGATTTATAGGTTGGCTCACATAATCAGAGGCCAGAGAGTTCCACTATGGCCGTCTGGCAAGCTGGAGTGCCGGAGAAATCAGTAGCTGCTCCCTCCCAAGTAGCCAGAAGCCTCAGAACCAGAGGGAAAAATGATGCAGCCCAAGGCCTAGAATCCCCCCTGGATTGTCACTGGCGTGAGTCTGCATTGAAAGGCTGCAGACACTGCAGTCTGATGTGCACAGGTGATAGCAGCAGCAATCTCCACACGTGCTCAGGAACAATGGAGCAGGCACATGCTGACTGGCTTCTTCCTCCCCCTGCTTTCATTCCTTCCTGACCTCCAGTCTATTGGACCATGCTGCCCACATTCAGGGCAGGGGTCCGCCTTATTGCTGTCCCATGTGACAGTCATCTCTGGCACCTCTCTCACAGATACACCCAGAAATGTGCTTTAATTATCCCCTAGGCATCTCTGGGTCCAATCAATTTGACGATTAAGAGTAAACACTGTCCATCAGAGACGATTGTATTTCTCCCATATTTTCCATATGGACCCTGGGAGGGCTGGAATAACTGTTTAAGCTATAACTGTTAAGCTAAGTGTAAACTGGAGAATATTGACACAAGTGTTGAGTGGCTGATCTCAGGGAGGAGTGGGGTAGTGTGTGAGCTCCCCTCTCCCCTCTGATACAGAAATTGTATCCCTTCTGGTCTTTACGCAAGGCACTTTCACTGTCAGCAGTCACACAATCTTCATTCAGTGTTTGAAGTACACTTAGCAAACCACAGGGCATTGAAAGAGGTGCAATCAGCATAACTCTTTTGTTTTGTTCTGTTCTGTTTTTAAAAGATGTTTGCATTCTTGATGGTGGTTTGGGAGACAACCTTAGATACATGAAATAATAATAGAATCTGGACCCAGATAGTTATTTGTATGGCATTGGTTGTGAGCATAACATTTATTTATAAAAGGGGGATGAGGAAAACTCTATGGAGAAGGAGGAACTTGAATGAGGCCCTAATAGAATTTGTTCCTTGGGAGAATGGTGAAGGGCTGGGCTACAGGAGTGAGAGGGACCAGCTGGCCCTGGGGGTCAGTGAAGGGATGAACCTGAGGGGAGAAGGGTTAAGGATTTGCAAAATGAGGTTGGTGTTAATTTCAACTATTTATTTGAGATTGCCTTTCAAGTATTTCCAAAAAGGTTAAATCATGACTCCCAAGCAAATATATATATATATATATATATATATAAACATATACAAAGATTTTTAACTCATGACTTAGTGGAGGCACCAGGAAGATGTTTAAGAACACTGGGAAGCTAGGCCTGGATACTAGATAAGGTAGAAGTCAAATCTATCATTCATTCTATGAATCTAACATTCATACTTAGGCAACTTAATAAATAAATGTAAGGATAAAGTTGCCGGGATAGATACGAAACTAGTTAATGTCTTATAGGACAGTAAACCCTGATCTTTGGGGCTATCTGTTCTATTTCACAGGTTATTTGCATCTTTGCTGGCAAAAGAAAAAATCTGTACATTAACATGTACCTTTACAAAGTCTGGGATAATTTATACATTTCATCAATAGCAAATACATTCACCTAGGCAGTTTTTGGGTAGCCTTTGTCATGTATGATATTGAAAAGATGTGTCACCCACTTTCTTTTCTATTTCCAAATTTTAGACAGTTTAAGAAGTCATACTGACCACAAAACAATGGAGGAAAAACTGGTTTTCTGCAGTGCCCCTGTCTGGCCCTGAGGATAGGACGCCTGCATGTTCTTGTTCTAGGTTTAGATTGAGTTTGTGAGTAATGTAGTCAGAGAAATCCAAAGGCCTCTTTAGCCTTGCATCCATCCTCTTCCTCCTGTAATCTTTTCATCTTGGTTACCATTGATGGTCAGCTCTGGGCTCATGCTTGACGCACATTCTCCCCTTGGTCAAGATACAGACAGGCAGAAACCAGGGCCTGAGGCAGGTTCCTGGGTGGCAAGGGCAGGTTAAGCCTGTGTTGTTTTCCAGGTGCTGAGTCTCTGTCTAGGTGAGCAGGTGCTTGGTGCAGGGTGGTTTTGCCCATGATCTCCTTAACGCCTCCTTGTCTTACCGGCTCTTCCTACTTGGAATTGCCGGGCAGTGTGTTGCAGGTGCCATGTACATCACTGGCTTCGCTGAATCCATCTCAGACCTGCTGGGCTTTGGGAATATCTGGGCTGTGCGAGGAATTTCGGTTGCAGTGCTTCTGGCCCTGCTGGGGATCAACCTAGCAGGTGTCAAGTGGATAATCCGCCTCCAGCTGCTGCTGCTGTTCCTGCTGGCCGTGTCCACACTGGATTTTGTGGTGGGCTCTTTCACCCACCTGGACCCAGGTAAGGTCTTTGGAGTTCAGTATATTACCTGTGGCTCATGGATCTGCACTGCTCTGTAGATATGTATAGGTGTGACTTGGCAGAATGCTCCCCTGTAATTAGTGTGGGCCATTCCTGATCAGGTGAGTGAGGTGTGCCTGGCTGCAGCTTCCTGGGCCCAGCAGCCTGTCTGGACATACACATTTTTATTTTATGTGTTTCCATGTTTCTTTTTCTTTTCTTTCCATTTAAAACAAATTCTAGAAGATTTAGGTAAAACTACAACCCCCCAAAAAGGGAGCAGATGGGTAAAAATCAAATTCATAACAGTGATGGGGAGACTGGGAAAGAAATAAATATGGACTAAGAGGAAAAATAGACTTGTCTGTCTTTTTTTTTAGGAATTCAATGCAAATATAACAATTGTTAACAATTGTGATTTCTGGGAGATGGGGACAGACATGTGTTTGATTATTTATAGTTTTCTATGCTAAATTATTTTTCAAAATAAAAATATGAGTCCTTTAAGCACAAGGAAAACAACCAACCTGTGGTAGTTCTTCACCCTTTGGTGCGGCCGCTTTGTGATCGACCCAGCTGTGTTTAATGTAGGCCTGGGCCTCCTGGGCCTTGAGGAGGATTGGGAATGCTCACCCTCCATCCTTAGGCTCTGTGTGAGGAGTGCACCTGGAGCGCCCATGACTTTGCAGCTTTCTGGTTTGGCATTGAATCCAACTTTGCTTCTCTCCAGAGTGCAGAGCTATTCCTAGGATGCTGTAGAAAAAAAGGTAACACCTGATAATGCACACTTCAGGGACTCTGCCTTTATATGGCAATAGTGCCCAGGCATTGGCACTAGAATGTAGATGGAGAAAGAAGGGGCCAATGGCTGTGTTTTGTTTTAAGTTCTTCAGTAACCTGTAAAAGTGGTGGTGACAGTGACTGCATTTGCCAAAACATGGCTAGCCCAGATATTGTGCTTAGCATTTTACGTTGTGCCCATTTTACAGATGAAAAATTGAGGTTCAAAGATACTATAATTTGTGATACATGGCACAGTTGGGATTTAAGTGGAGTTTTTCGACACAATAGCTGAACAATTCCCAAGGTGGGAAATAGTCCTGTTTCCATACATGTGGCTTTCTCTTAGAGGATGCCCCTGAGATGTGTTCTGAACAGTCTTGTCTTTTGTAACAATGTTGGCTGTAGAATAGTCAGAATTCAGTTGATGTACATTGATTTGGCCTTACCACATCTTCATATGTTATAGAATTCTTCTGTTGGAAAACTGACTCCCCTGAATGTCCCTTCCCCTCTGGCATCCTTGGCCCACTTCCAGATCCCCAGTCTGCACCATGATCCAGCACCTGAGGGTTAACTGCTGGACCAAAGGTCTTGCAAGAACCTGCTCTGGCGCTAAGGGCTATGGTGTTCGGATTACCCAAAGCCTGGGTCTTGCAGCTTTCTGTCTGTTTGGAGCATCTCCACTGGAGGAAAAGGATGGTTTTTTCCTACCTTGCACCATCCTGCCGAGATGGCCCCCATACTGAGGGAGATGTGCCATCCTTTGGCTGCCAAACCGTCAGTGAAGGGGAGTCCACTGTAGTTCCCAGTTCCCGAATGTTCTGCCTTCCATCGACGCAGTTGCTAAAAGAACATAATTAGTCAAACTGCAGGTGATACTGCTACCTGGGAAACCTTACTGTACTGATGTGTTTTCCTTCTTGATTAGGAGTTCTTGGCCGCCCTTCTAAGTTACTCCAAGTATTTCTCCTTCCTTCTGGTCAGTACATTAGCAGGGTGTAGTGCGAATTTATTTTCAATTATTCCCATAGCAACCAGTCCCTTTAGAATCTGTTTTTTATATCACTGATGTTTTATATGGTCTATTTTCCTTGTGGTTAAAAAAATCCAAACTGAAACTAGACCATAAACCTTCAGAATGGATTTAACAGAATGAATTCAACTATCAAAAAGAAAAGACATACACAGACATTTGAAAAAAGACTGGAAGGAACTCTGCCTAAGTGTCTGGTGAGGTTACATGTAGCCATATTCTTTTTATTTCTACTTTCCCTTCACTTGATGAATGTTACTTAAAAAAAAAAAAAGGTGTTTGGAAGTAGTTTTAGGTTTTCAGAGAGTTGAGCAGGCAGTGCAGAGGTCCCATCACCCCTTCTTTCCTTCCCTAACACAGCTTCCCTTCTCATTAGTGTCACCATTTCTGTGGCACATTTATTACAACTGATGAGCAAACGTTGTCACATTATTAACTAAAGGCCACAGCCCAGGGCACCATCTTGGTCTGTACGTTCTGTTTGTCTTGACAGTGTACAGTGCATTGTATCTCCCATTACGCTGTCATACAGAATAGAGTCACTGCCCTAAAACTTCCCTGTGCTCCACCTAGTCATCCCCTCCCACCCTCCACCTCCCCACAACCCCGTGAACTCCTGGAACCACTCAGTGTCTTACTGTCTCCATAGTTTTGCCTTTTCCAGAGTGTCATGTAGTTGGAATTGTACAATACGTGCCTTTTCAGACTGGCTTCTGTTAACTTGGTAATATGTACTTAGGGTTCCTCCATGTCTTTTTGTGACTTAGTAGCTCATTTCCTTTCATCACTGAATAATATTATATTGTCTGACCAGGCTTGGTGGTGCACAGCTATAATCCCAGCACTTGGGAGGCCAAGGCAGGAAGATCGTGAGTTCAAGACAAGCCTAGGTTACACAGCAAGACCCTGTGTCAAAACAAAGAAAAAGCACAAACAAAAGAAAACAAAAACAAAAACAAATGTCTATCGTCTGGATTTACTATGGTTTATTTGTCCACCCACCTATTGGAGGACATCTTGATGACTTCCAGTTTTTGACAGTTATGAATAAAAGTTATAAACATTTTGCTCAGGTTTTAGTGAGGGTATTTTTTCAAAAAAACTCATTTGGAAAAGTATCGAGGAGCGTGATTGCTGGTTCATATGGTATGGCTATGTTGCCTTTGGAAGAAACAGCCAAACTCTTTTCCAAAGTGGCCGCAGCATTTTGCATTCTCACCAGCAACCAGTGAGTCTTGACTGTCCCACATCCTGACAGCGCTGGGCGTGTCAGGGTTTTGGATTTTGGTCATTCTAATGGGTGCAGAAGTATGAGTGGTATCTCATTGATATAATTTGCAGTTCGTCAATGAGGTATGGTATTGAGTGTGTTCTCATATGCTTATTTGCCCTCTGAATGTCCTTTTTTCTGAGATAGGGTCTCACTATGTAGACCAGGCTGGCCTTGAACTTGAGATCTTCCTGCCTCAGCCTTCTGATGTGTATCATCTTTTTCCCCTCTTTTTTTAATTGGTCTATATTAATTATACAAAAGGGTTTAATTGTGATATTTCCATACATGCCTAATAATGTATTTGATCAAATTCACCCCCCTACTACTTTTTTTTAATCACCTCTCTCCCCCTTTTCAAACAATTTTAATAGGTTTCATTGTTCTGTTTTCACCCATTCATAGGAAGTACTTTGATTATATTCTCCCCCCAATCCTCCCACACCCTCTTCTTTTACCCTCCCCTGTTCTGCTGTTTCCCACCCCCCAAATAGTGCCCTATTTTACAATCATGTCTTCTCTTTTTTTAAGGGTCTAGATTCTTCATATGAGAGAGCATGCAATATTTGTCATTGTCAGTCTGGCTTATTTCACTTAATATGATGATTTCCAGTTCTGTTCATTTGCCTGCAAATGACATAATTTTATTCTTCTTTATGGCTTCTTTGAGGCTGAATAAAACCCCTTTGTGTGATAGATATGTGTCACATTTTCTTTATCCATTCATTGGTTGATGGACACCCAGACAGATTGCATTGTTTGGCCATTGTGAACAGTGCTACTATAAGCATGGGTGTGCAGGTATCTATTAAATGCTCATTACACTCCTTTTTATATATGTTCTGGAGTGCTATAGCAGGATCATATGATAGGTTTACTTTTAGTTTTTTCAGGATCCGCCACACTGATTTCCATAATAGCTGCCCTAATTTGCATTCCCACCAACAGTGCATAAGGCTTCCTTTCCCCTCACATCCTCACCAACATTTGTTGTTTGTTTTCTTTTATGACAATCATTCTGACTAGAGTGAGGTGGAATGTCAGTGTCATTTTGATTTATGACTAAGGATATCGAACATTTCTTCATGTATTTATTGGCCATTTGTACTTCTTTTGAGAACTGTTCAATTCATTTACCTAGTTATTAATTGGATTGTTTGTTCTTTTGGTGCTTAATTCTTTGGAGTTCTTTATTCTGGGTGTTCTTTATTCGATGAATAGCTGGCAAGGACTTTTTCTCACTCTGTAGGTTGTCTCTTGATTCTGATACTTGTTTCCTTTGCTGTGCAGAGGCTTTTTAATTTGATACTGTTTTATTTGTCATTTCTCACTCTTATTTCCTGAGCAATTGGAGTCCTATTCAGAAAGGCATTACCTATGGCTACAGCTTCAAGAGTCTTCCCTATGTTTTCCTATAGTAGTTTCACAGTTTTAGGCCTTAAATTAAGATCTTTGATTTATTTTTAGTTGTTTTTTTATGGAGGTCTAGCTTCAGTTTTCTATATGTGGATAACCACTTTTCCCAACACCATTTGTCAAAGAGGCTGTCTTTTCTCCAATATTTGTTTTTGGTTCCTTTGTCAAAAATCAGATGACTCTCGCTGGGTGGGTTTATTTTCTGGATCTTCTATTCATTGGTCTGTTCATTGCCTGTTTTTGTCACTATGGCTCTGTAGTATAATTTGAAGTCAGATATTGTGATACTTCTTGCATTGCTCTTTTTTGCTCACAATTGCTCTAGTTATTAGAGGTCTTTTACTTTTCCATATGAATTTTAAGATTGTCTTTTCTATTTCTGATAGAAATGACATTGCAATTCTGATAGAGATTACATTGAATCTGTAGATTGCTTTTGGTAGAATAGCTATTTTCACAATACTAATTCTGCCAATCCATGAGCATGGGAGGTCTTTC